ACTCAGAGTCCATGTTATAAATTTAAAATCTCGTAATTAATGCAGACATGTTGTAAATTCAAGTTTCTCCAGTTGTTCTGACTATGTTCAATCTGCACAGCCATTTCTAAGAGAATCCAGATTCTTAAGGTATGACTCCTCTTACTGGAATCAGCCCAGAGACAGCCCTACTCATAAGATTAAGAAGTTACTTGGAAGGAGCAAACACGTTGATCGGGAGCAGAAAATGTTTTGAAATTGCACGTTCTAGATTGTAAAAGCTAAAGAAGCGAAACCAAAATTCTGCCAACAGCAGCCTACGTTCTTTTGGGTAAATTAGCATGACACTCAAAAGAGCCAATTTCCAAGATATGTATAAGAATGCACATGCTCACTATTAAGAAGTAAACATCACATAAATAAGATTTTTGTGATCATTTAAACTGCAAATAAAGTAATCAGAGTTTCAAGGAAGCCCAGCTTTCCTTGCTCTGTAGCAATTAATCCATTCAAGTGGTGTGGCCATTTAATCCTTGTCCGTGATTTTAAAATAGACCAGATGGAGAGTGCCCAGGGTCAAGCAACAGAACTGAAGTTATTGCAGGCTGCATCAATAGCACCAAAGGGCAAAAAAGAAATTGCAAAACCAGCGACATCGCCAGAATCAGCGGATCAAAGAGCTCCTGTGCATCAGCCCTCATCCCCCTCCAAGATCAATGACTGGTGTACGGCAACGGCACCACCACACATCTGTACAGGAGAGAGACGCTTTCAAAACCAATGGATGTAAGTCACGTCCTCGACGTCAGACCGCCACCACTGCCCAGGGCGAGCGGTATCTTGACAAATGAGAAACAACCCGAGTTTAACCCTTCTACACGCAAATACCTCTGGTAAGTAGAACACAATAACTGGCTATGTATAACTACACACACATATATGCTATACGTATCTCCCATTGCGTCTTCTATTCATTTTCAATAATGCTGAAAGCATACGTGATACATAACATGAACTGAGCAAGCTTCAAAAGCTGATTTAGTCTTCAGTACAAAAGCTAAGAAAAAGGTGAGCATAGACATTTGTCTGAGATTTTTTTAATTCAGTGTAAACACATTTAAAATTTACAGTACTTACAAGTAGTCTAGTTACAACAGTCAGACAAGAACCAAAGCCTGTTGTGGATCATTAAGTTTCTCAAGTCAGGAAGATTTGCAGTAGACATTAGAAAACACTTTCTAGGGGTAAAGAACTCCTAGAATAAATTGCTTGATGGTGGCGCAGAGTCTTTAGATACACACATAGGAGAAACAATGCAGTCCTGGGGAGAAGAATAAACCTTAGACCCCTGGAGGTCCCACCTGACAAATGAGCGCATCCATTTAGGGAATATAGGAAGTGTATTAATAAACAAGGGCTTAATAGTTAAAGGACTGATTTTTTAAAGAAATCTATTCAGGCCATTTATTTTAGAAGAAAGGTGCTTTGTATCTGGTTTGTCGGGTTTGTTTGTTTGTTTTTTTTTAAGACATGCTGAAACTATTAATTTGAACCAAGTACGATAGCTCTTAGTTATTAATACTAAACTGTTTACATGGCACCACTTCAGAGCAACCAGTTATTTCTAGCCTTGAGAAAAACAGCTCTTCTCATGCAAGTTTCTTTTCCTGAAATTGTCACTAGAGAAGGACTACATACAAATATGCATGTCTGTTCTAAGCAGCTGGGACACTACAAGCAGTTGTTTGCACAGACATCAGTAGATTTGACAAGTGTCACAGTTTAACCCCAGCCAGCAACTAAGCCCCACGCAGCCACTTGCTCACTCCTGCCCTGCTGGGACAGGGGAGAGAACCAGAAGAGCAAAAGTGAGGAAACTCGTGGGTTGAGATAAAGGCAGGCTAATAGGGAAAGCAAAAGCCACACATGCAAGCAAAGCAAGGAATTAATTCACTGCTTCCCATGGGCAGGCAGGTGCTCAACCGTCTCCAGGGAAGCAGGGCTCCATCACTTGCAACGGTGGCTTGGGAAGACAAACGCCATCACTCTGAGCTTCCCCCTCTTCCTCAGAAAAGGCCTTGGCTTTGTGTAAGCCCTGCTCAGCAGTAACAACAACATCCCTGAGTTATCAACACTGTTCCAGCATAAATCCAAAATATAGCCCCATGCTGGCTACTATGAAGAAAATTAACTCTACTCCAGCCAAAACCAGCACAACAAGAATGATTTTTTTTTTTTTAAACTACATTATTGATTTATGTGGAAAAAGCATAAAGCCAGAATATTTGCTACTTCTGTGCCAGCATGCACTGTTACCACAATAATTCATTGTTAATTGTAGATCTGATAATAAAAAGTTACAATGTCCACGCAAAAACGAGAACTAAAGAGGTTCTTAGAAGTGTTGTCAGGTATTAGACTGAATTTTTGTGATGCAATTTCTCTTACACAGGACATAATGGAGTCTTATATTCTATCATCTCCCAACATCACCTTTACGAGAGGAAGGGAGGAATGCTGAGCAGCCATGATAAGAGTAAAAGCCGCCTGAAACAGCTTGAGGTGGTGAAACCTTCTACATGTGTCATACTGGATATCTGGTAATTCAATAAAAGGCATGAATATTAAGTGACCTTGCACCTGTAAATGTTAGGCACTAATATCCTGTGCCAAGGTGCATATGAATATCCAGAAGCTTAAGCAAACTACTGCTCCATCACAAGAATATGAATTTATTAATTTAAACTCATTTAGGAATTAAGTGCAAATGCACTATCTGACAGCTTCCAGAGTACATGGCTCAGATATTTGGTACTACAGAACCGCAAAAGCAAGGCTAACTAGCTGTAGCCAGTAAGGCATTTCCACGCTGCAGGCTGCTGGACCATATCCTAGCAGAAATACCATGGTTTTAGGCTTTCTCAGTACCACTGCTAGCAACTGCTGGGAGCAAGGTTGGGGGAAATAGAGCTTATTGACCCAGGGAACACATTCTTGTCTCACTATGGCCTCAGGTTTTCAGCTAGTCACCCCTAATAAAAGAATGTGGTGCTTTGCACACCCTTAAACTTCTTTACTTCGCAATTATAAAACCTGCAGGTTGGCCTGAGCAATTTAAACAACTCCGCTATCCCCATGCTATTGGCTACCTGCTAAGTACATAGCCCACAGGGAGGGTGACGGTTCAGGAGCTTTTGTAATTACAGTTCAGAAATTGTCATTGAAAAATACATTTAAACTTGTGATGGTTACAAGAAGAGGTCAGTTGGGTGCATATATACATCTCTCTCTCTCTGTTGTCTATCACAAAGCACTCATGCTCCTGTGCTTGATTTTCAGCTTACAGAATAACAGTGCCTTTCTATTACATGTAACTACCCATCATACCAAATTTTTCCCATTGGCTTCTGTGTCATTTTGATGGATCTTAAACTTCCTTGTCCTTCATTATATCCTAGCACCTGGCTGGTCCCTTTCACTCACGCAGGACTCCATGCGACTTGAACGATTCAGGGCCATGTACAATGTAGTCGTATTGCAGGGGGAAGAGAAAAGAATCAGAGACAGTCACTTGGTTTTAAAAATGCATTTATCTGCCCTCACATGGGCAAAAAATATCACCCCTCTTCCAATGCGGCAGCAAAGGAAAACCTTCCAGAACAGAAAACACTTAATGATCTCTTACGTTCACACAAATTTAAGGGGCTGAGTCTTAGTTAATAATTTTCTTAACAGCACCAGTGTTTTGACATCGACTGTTAAGAATGTAAATTTAACATTTCCAAGAAATTAGGTACTTCTGACAGAATGGTTCGGAGGCAGATATACCCAATGGAATGACTACTGTGGCTAATTCCTGACCTTCTTGGGAAACAGCAACATTTTTTGGGACAAAACTGGCAGAAGGAAAACAAGCTACCGATTGCAAGAAGATTAAATACTCTGAGCAGTAGCAAAGAAGATTAGAAACTTACCACATAATTTGCTGAGTAACTTCTGCCCCCAAAACAAGGTAACCTCACAGTTTCTAACACCCTACTTCTCCCTTCTGAGCCAAGTTTAACTTAAACACTTACCTGACATTTATAAAGTCCTGAGGTATGTATTGCAGTTCATATTTATCAACAAACCTACAAAACCTGAAAGAAGTGACAGCAACTTCAAGCTCTACACAAGATGCAGCTGCTCATCTGCTTAGCAGACAGACTGCTAAAGCATGCTCCTGTGGTGAACCATATTATTAACTGAAAAGTCAGTTTAGTTGCCAAAAGTGCAAGTTAATTCTGATTTTCAAAGCCTTCTTCTAACACCAAGAGTTATTTTCTGCACTTCTGCAGTGGAGACACCTACACACCAGTGGATCCTAAGCAGTAAGTTGCCAGCATTGCCTTCTAGGAACATGACATTGAAGAAGTTTCTAGGGGGTCTCACTACATTTGAGCACAATGCAGAAACAAATCAAAGCCAGCTAACACATACTGAAGACTTTCTAGCTGAGCTTTCCATTACACCGTAACTACAACATTAACCTGTTTGCTTTGGCTTTTCCTAAAAATTGTCAAAACCCCACTAACAGATCTGTTATCTTCCTGTGAGTACAGAAGGGAAAAATAGCTATTGTCTTTAAATCTTTGGGAATTTAGTATGTACCACTGTGATTAATGTCTGATATCTGCAGGAACTGAAGCAGCCCAGAAATTGCTGAATAAACTAACTTTATCTTAGAAATACTCATGCCACTGAGAAATGTAAAGGACAGAAGTGCTATGATACTGTTTTTTCCTTTAAAAACACCTACTGTAATATGCAAACATTCCTGATAATCCTACAAAAACCAGCATTTAAAACAAAGACATACTTTTGTATAAATGCACCACCTTGTGTCTGAAAAACATCCCTTTTTTTCCTGAACTAAGCTTCATTAAGAACTATTGTAAACATTTCCAACAAGCAGAAAATACCCATCAAATCTTGACTACAGGGAAATCACTGGATTGCAGGCATTAGACTTTTTAAACATAAAAAATAAAATCCTCATCCTCCAGTGTTCAAACTACAATCTCACGTTACAAAATTCAGAGGGCTGTCAGATGACAATAACTTACAAACTACAACTTACCCCACTCCTCTTCTATTGTCTTAAGATGTATTTTTCAAGGGAGGTAGGTTGGTGTACTTCCTGAGTTATGTCATAAAAAGGGAAAAAATGCTCATCATTTTCAACTTGCTAGAAAACATGTTTGGAAGAAGTCCTGTTGATTTCTATTTTAAAAATCATATTGTTCTAAGAATTAGGATAAAAATGCTCTGGAGGAAAGGAGGCTTTGGAATTTTGAAGACCTTTTCTAAAGAATTTGTGCTGCCACCCATTACACACTTTTTTTTTTTCCAATAACAATCAGCCAGCATGCTAATACAGGCATTATCCAGAATGTGACATGGTTACACAACGTATCCAGGTGATCCAAACAGATGCAGCTATACACAGATAAAAGACTATAAACAGCTGGTTCTTGGCCATGGAATCAAATTCTTAAGGTATACAGGAAAAGGTTATAGACATAAAGCATTTTATTTAATACAAAAATACTCTTCAAGAGAAAAAGACAAAAGAATACCTCAAATAAAGCCAAAATCTCAAATATTTCTTGCGCATCTCTATCAGAACCAAGCGAAGGACTTCTTAAGCATTACGTTCATGGAACCGATTTTGAAAAGGATTTGAAACAGAAGGGAATAATGAAACAGCTGCTGTTTTATACTTCATGAAGTCTGTTCTGCACCACAGAGTACTGCTAAAAAACAAGGTCTCTTTCAAATAGGAACAAAAACTTCTAAAAGTGATTATTATGAAATTTCTCCCCACTTTTTATGCTGTTCTCAGGCACTACTTTCAGTCCCATTTCATGATCCTGCTGTACTAAGTTGTGTACTGGTTACGCTGGTTAGATCAGAACAAGTACAACTTGTCAATGTTCATAACGTAACCCAGACTTTCCATAATCTTCACTAATGCTGTTCTTCCTGAGTTCTGGTTAAGCGCTTCAGCTATCCTGGTTAGTCAGTCGGCCGATAAGCAATCACAGGCTGTTCTTCACCGACATCGATCAGCAAATCTAACGGCACATGAGGCTTGTCATAGCCAGAACACTTCAGACAGCTGCTTGGAATGACTGTTTGTTGTATTTCTGTGGCAGAATCCTCTGGACCTCCAGAGTTATGGCATATATCCATTTGGCCCCGGTCAGAAGTGAAATAACTCTCATTTACTTTGTGATTCTGTTCATCAGAAGAAGATACCTCCTCTGTGCTTTCCTGCACTGACACCTCTTCTGCTTTGGCTGGTGCCTCTGGGGGAGGAACAAAAGATGCTCCTTCACTGGAATCCTCGGGACTAACAGTTTCTTCTTTTAGCTCTACCTCCAGGGAGGTTACTTCAGCATTCACTGGCAACGCTGACTGGCCTGGCATGATGCTTACTACAGATATATATTTGGCCTCCGATTTTGATTCTAGAATGCTGTCTGTGTTCAGGTTTCTTATCACACTGACCTTAAATGGGAAAAAAAAAAAAAATCACTTTTAGTTCCACAGAATCTATTAATTTATTTGCTTTATCTTCTGTCAAGGTTTAGACATTAAAAAAAAAAAAAAGATACAAGTTCATAATACAAACAGAACAGAAATACAACAGAAATTAGCAAAACTAGAACCTGGCAAGGTCATTAGCCTATATCCATGACTTCAACTGTTTCATTAATGCAAACTCTCAAAAATGCTTTCTATGTGCAAACACATTTGCAAGGACCAAATCCACTTCATGTCACTCACTGTATTTTAAGTCATTTGCAGTTTGCAATGTAGGAGCAAACAGAGAAGGAAGAAAAAGCTGTGATACCCTCCAACTAGCTGGGGAAACCTTTCATACTCTATAGCTAATGGGCTTAACTTACAATGACTGTAATATTTTGTGGCAATTGTCTCAACTGGGAGGAAAGTGAACTTTGGAAAGAGATCTTTAAAAATAACATGAGACCCTTTACGCATACCCAGTAGTCATATCTGTGCTGAAGTCCTCCTAGTTATTTCTCCTGTGTCACTAATGTCATTCCCTCAATGCTGCAAACTTTAATGTTTCCCTTTGAAACCCCTCCACAGGAAGAACATATTAATTCCTTCAATGGCCAGGCTCCAGCTTGTTTTACATGATTATGACATGTCTTCAGGCTGTTTAGATTATTCTGATTTTTTTTTAAAGGTGTTTTCAAGAATACATATGAAAAACAATGCAGGGTAAATTTTCAGCTCTATGATGATGTTCCCTAAAGCTAACAGAAAGCATAGGGAGAAAGGGTTACTCTATTAATAGTGTTTTCCAAATTTCATAATTCACTATGTATGTGTACCACAGACTATCAAGTACTACAGATAAGCTGATTTCTTAATAATATGTGCACAATCACTGTTTTTTGAGATACTTGGTAAAAAAAAAAATCTGACTGAAAACACAGGTTGAGGCAAATTTGGAAGAGAGGGATGCAGGTAGGAGGAGAAAAGGAGGAGAACAAAAAAAATGTTTACGAAAAGCTACAAATAGCCAAAAAGAACTTCCCAGTCTGTACTAGTGTAGGAACTGAGCGAGCCATCAAAACCAGATGATCAAATCTGACTGCTTTTCAAGAATCTGCCTTGATCAGAAGGTGGTGAGGCTGTATCTTTACATTCGTACCTTCATGGCATGCTGACTTCATAAGACCTTGCCTTCATCTCTCACTTAAGCCTTTCATACCTTTCCCTTCAGTTGCCCTGATATCTGTTTGATGGTACTGTGGTTATGCTTGATCAATGAAGCTACTGGAGTTTAAAAAAAAAAGCAAAAAACCAGACAACAAACACCATCACAAAGCAAACAAACACTCCCTGGAGAGCAGTTATTTGTAGTCTAAGTGAATTCTACAAATAGCTGTATTGGTACCACTAAGGGGAGGTGATCCCCTTAGGAATCAAAGACTGCCACTGGAAAACTGGTCAAAAGAACACTAAGGTGGCTCCTGACACTGAGAGTATACCACACTGCAACCTAGCTGCCATTCAGCCATCATTCCTCTCTGGATGTTCAGTTTCTGCTACGCAGAAACAGTCAGACTACCACATAAAGAACATTCAGAACAATTTCCATTAATATGTATGGAAACCACCCGTAGATGCTTAAAAGATAGCTGCAGAAACCAGAATACAATCAATAATGTGTAGATAGGGAAAATGTTATGGACAGCTGGTAGGATTAATGTACCTTTTGAAAATCTGTTTATATAGATACATGAAAAAGTATTGGATACTTATGCTATACCAACACTGACCTTGAAAGGACCAGCATCTGTAGTTTTTTTGGGGGTAGCAAAAATCTGACTTCCATAGTCATGCAGTAAGTGACAAGAGAAGATAATTCTCTGTATATGCTGGACTACTTGAGGAATCTGACTTAAAACAAAATGCTATAGAAACCATGGCTAAAAGCTGCATTCACAGCTTCCCATCTCTCCCCATACCAGTGTATGCTATACTAAGGTTAAAACCCAAACCCAGTGAGTTCCTGTTTCTGCCCTTTTAGGATTTTCACATGGCTCAAAATCATAGCCCTAAAAATGTATTAAGGGAATGCCTTGTACTCTACACAGGTTCTGCATTTCACAGTGCCAGCTGGCAATGCTTAGAGATAGACCCCAAGAACAAAATATGTACTCTCTATACAACTACATTCATTGTTCTCAAAAAGGAAACCTGTTTTTCTTTCGCTGAGTTTTTGAAAAAAGCAAAAGAGTGCACAGACACTCCTATTCCCATGCAAGAAAGAAGGAAGCCACGAGAAGAAAACTCTTGTGGGTTTCCTGGTACCAAAGGTTCTTTAAGAGTCACTGAGTCATGACTACAAGACAACTTAATAGTTCATGCAGTTATTTCTAGCTTCAAAGACAAGAACCACAGCTTACTACACTAACTGGAATGCCATTCAAAGCATCTCAAGAAACAAGGGCAATTAAGATATGGTTGCTATTTGAAGAGTATTTACTGTAGGTAAGTTAATATTTTTCTTTTGTGCACATTATCCAATACCAGCAAACTGACAGCCAGTGAGCTTAAGCTGGATGTCAGCAGCATTTCCTGGCATGTGCAGGTGCTCAGATATCTTCCTGTCTCCAAAAACAGCACCTAAGCTTTCAGGTCTTTCACTGTCTCAACAGACTAGGGAGGTACACCAGTGGAAGCCAGGGTCAAGGATACATACAAATAACATATCCCAAGGAATCTGTAACAGTTAAGGTAACCAACAGTTTTTTTAACTTCCTTTTCTAAGGGCTTGTCCACTTACTAATTCCCAGTACTTTTCAGGACCACATTTTCTGCAGGAGAGTTTGAGAAGTCCATTTCAAACCTTATTAAGACCTTATCAAAATCTGCATGGTCTTTGCATGGCTCCACAACAAATTAATGCTGGATAAATGGATAAATAGGAGACTGTTACTGCCCTATAGACACTCACAGGAAAAAAAAAAATCTCCACAAAAGCTAATAAAGCAGCTTGTCTCTTGTAAGATGACAATTATTTGTGGCAAATATCAGTCCAAATTTACAGGAACAATTACAATTTCTGCAAATCAAAAATATATGTTGTATAACCAAAAGCTCCAGAGTCACAAAGAAAATTCTTAGGTGTTCTACAAATACAATGAGAGAACACAGCCTTGTCATTCCCGTCAGGCTCAGAAAAAGCACCAGCAGATAGCAGAAAAGTTGACTTAAACATGAGCTAAAAATGAAAGTTGATGCTTTTCAATGAGTCTCTTATACAATGGGGTTTTGTACCTACTAAATATTTTCCACCATTTAAAGATAAGAGGCAAAAAAAGCAATTAAAAAAAAAAAAAAAAAAAAGACAGTGAAGTTAAAGCAGAGGAAGATGCCCACAGCATATCAGTGAATTAAGGCCTGGCTCCTTTCAAAGTGGATAAGCTCTTTTCAAAAATCTTACAACAAAAAAATCTAGTATGGGACAAGTAACACACAGGACAAACTGGAATGACTGAAGATGGTGGGTGGAAGGAGACGGCTTCCTGAAATACTTTCTGTGAGATAAATGAAAGAAAGTGAACACCTCTAGCTACAGCTGGGGTGCTGAAAATGTCAGGTTCCCGTGATCCAGCAGAGAGATTAGCATGATGAAGTTTTGCAAAGGAATCTGTCTCATTTGTCTAAGACTCTCAAAGGCAGCTGCTTGATGGTTACTTACTTATTTTTCCTTTTGTTGGAACATTCCAACTTGCTGAAAGTCACTCAGATGATGTTTTAGCATCTACTTAAAAGCCGCCAGGAAGCAGATCACTGGAAGGCAGCAGTCCTAAGGCAGGACACCTTGCCTAGCCTTTTGACAGATGGAAAAACTCCCTAGATGTTTCATTTTCAGACATGCTTAGGTAAAGCACAATGGTCATAACTTGTATGGAAAGAAACATATAGTACACATTCAAAGGTCAGTGAGAGGCTCTCAGCTCCAAGAAGTCTACAGAGATAGCTTCATATCATTAAACTTATTAACCATATTATTTACATTACTTATTCATTACTTGAAATGATTAATTATAAAAAAAATCAATAATTAATCATACGTTACTAATTACTCATTTTATAATCCCACATTATTCATACAACCTGGACTGAAACTATCCTTACAAGCTCTGCAATTTATACATGTCATTAAAGACTTCAATGGAAATGGACAGAATCGCAGAATACCCTGAGTTGGAAGGGACACATGAGGATCATAGAGTCCAACTGCTGACTCCATTCAGGGAAACTTAGAAGCTAAACCATATACCTAAGAGCATGGTCCAAATGCTTCTTGAACACTGACAGGCTTGGGGCTGTGACCATTTCCCTGGAGAATCTATCTTAGTGCTTGACCACCAAGGTAACAATCTTTATAAATAGTTATAGGTTTCATTCAGTTCCTTAGCAACAAAGCATGACATATGGGGACAATCTTTTTAACAAGGTCTGCTGTGACAGGACGAAGGGTAAGGGTTTTAAACTAAAGGAGGGTAGATTTAGACCAGATGTAAGGAAGAAATTTTTTACAGTGAGGGTGGTAAAACACTGGAACAGGTGCCCAGAGAGGTAGTGGAGGCCTCATCCCTAGAAACATTCAAGGTCAGGTTGGAGGAGGATCTGAGCAACCTGATCCAGTTGAAGATGTCTCTGCTCACTGCAGGGGGTTGGACTAGATGACCTCATTGGCTTGGATATCTCCGTTTAGTCAGAGCACTCTAACCTCCTAATATTCTATTACAAATAAAGCAGGCTCTAGGGGCATCTTAGGAATTGAGCTGACCCTGCACTATGAAGGAGTCACTTTAAAGAGTCTTGAATTTGAAGACCATGGAATTGAAGATCATTGCCTCTTCTCTCTGTAAGTCTTACAAGACTTCCTGCACCCACTGAGAAGATACACTCTTGATACGATTACTATTTACCACTGCCTCACATGGCAGTTCTTGAAAGCTGTTTCAACTGCTGCCAGTTGTTCAGTTGCTTGAACGTTGTAGCACTTAGCAGTATCACAGTATTACCATGTAATGAAGGAATCACACATGTCCAGTGACAGGACAAGAGGAAGTGGCCACAAACTGAAACACATGGAATTTTACCTGAATGTAAGAAAACAATTTTTACTGTGACGGTGGTTAAACACTGGAATAGGTTGCCCAGAGCATTTGCGGAGTCTCCTTCCTCAGAGGTATTCCAAACCCAACTGGACAAAGTTGCTGACCCAACTTGAGCAAAACGGTTGGACTAGACAGTCTCAAGAAGTCTCTTCTAACCTCAGCAATTCTGTGTTTCTGCGTCTCTGCTACTAGAATGAATACAAACCTATTCATGTACAGACACATTGAGTTTTCAAGAACTAAGTTCTCAAACTAGACCAACTACTGCTACTTCAGTTAAAAAGACTGAAGTCTAGCTGTAAAACAAATACAAGGCATCTGGTTGCAGAGGCTGTCAGAATATTTGGCTGGTGTAAATCCTAAACACCAAAGAGACCATGGTAAAAAAATATGAGACAGGCATAAAGATGTTATAGTTATGAAACTTACCTAGCTGGATACTAAAAATCTGACACAGATAAGTGTGAACTTACCAAAGACTTAGGCAGCTTTATGTTCCTCTTTCTTAATTTGTTGCAGCCCCAACATACTGTCAAAATTAGACTCATGCCCAGAATAACACAACACAGAATGATGAGGTCTCGTGTGCCTAAGAAGTTAGAGCAAAATCTTTTAGGAAGTTTGGAAAAATAAACCACTGCTGTATCATTTAGAGTAACTTCAGAAACTGTAACAGCTCAGAATGCTTAGGTGTAATGTGTGAATTTGTCATTTGTCACCTTTTTTCACTCAAGAAAACTTAATTTATGAAGTACTATACCAAGTAAATAAAAATTAAAATGACAGAAGATTTTCAATTTATATAAACACAATCGAGTTTCTAGAGAGATAAAGGAATTTTATAACTAATTTTTTTCCTTAGGTATGACAGATGGGGGTGAGCAGATTTGTACATTTTCCACTTAATAGCTTATTAACTGACATAATAATTACAGATGGTCTATGTACAATAAAATCAAAACATGAAATCTTCTAAAACATATTTGCTAGGAAGATTCCACTAGCCTGACTCACCTTAATGTCCTCCCCCTCAATCACACCACTGCTCTTGTGTGTAAAAAAGAACACAGCTGCTTTCACCAATTTTACCTCTTTTCTCTAGGGAAGTTTTGGGCCGTAATGAAGTAACATTTAAAAGTCTGTAAGAGGTTATCAGAGACATGAAGTTGGGTCATGTTGTGGTTTAACCTGTCAGGCAGCTGTATACCACACAGCCACTCGCTCACTCCCTGCTTCCCTCAGTGGGACAGGGGAGAGAATCAGGGCGGGGGGGGAAAAAGTGAAACCCGTGGGTTGAGATAAAAGACAGTTTAATAAAACAGCAGAGGAGAACAATAACAATAATAATAATGGTAAGAGAATATACAGAATATACAAAACAAGCGATGCACAATGCAATTGCTCACCAGCTGCTGACCAATACCCAGCCCATCCCAAGCAGCGATCGCTCTCCCCCTGGCTAACTCCCCCCCAGCATGATGTCATACAGTATGGAATATGCTTTTGGCCAGTTTGGGTCAGCTGTCCTGGCTGTGCCCCCTTCCCAGCTTTTTGTACACCTGGCAGAGCAGGGGAAGCTGAAAAATCCTTGACTAGTCTAGGCACTGCTCAGCAACAACTAAAACAATCAGTGTGTTATCAACATTCTTCTAGTACTAAATCCAAAACACGGTGCTATGCCAGCTACTAGAAAGAAAATTAACTTTATTCCAGCCAAAACCAGGATAGGTTACTTGCTGTCTTTGTTCTCTTTAATTAAGAAAAAGATGTCAATACCTCAATGTTATGACCACAAGTTTATAGTTGCTTCAAACTCAAGAAAGTCTAAACACATTTTCCTCAGTGATGAGGCTGAGCAAAAAGCCATTTGTTAGAAGAGACAATGCTTCTGGAAAACATATAACTCTGTGAATGATCCATTTGTCATTTTTTAATTACACCAATGATCAGGTGTAACAGAAATGGATTTTGTAATACCAATGAAGCGGGAAAAGCATCCAAAAAAAGTCAGGGTTACCTGAAAATAATACATGTATTTAAAGGTCTTTAGAACTGGTAAAGTGCATTTGGAAAAGAATGACCACGGTGCCTCTTTTTTCATATTTTCCCATAGGCATCCAAGTCATCCCATGGTTGTATCAGAGCTCAAATACTTAGCTAGAACAGATGTTTGGTCAGACTCAGTATGTTCTTACTAAAGTTTTAGAATCCTCTTACGCAATGCCTTGAGAGGAACACGAATGCAGCTTTCTTCTGATGGGGCGCCGACCATCAGCTCGCCATATAAAGTTTCCTTTGCTGAAACACGAGGCTACATTTATACGGCGTACAGCTGTCTTCAGCGAACTCTTTACTCTGCAAAAAATGAGCCACATTGTATCATTTGACTCAATACAACAATATAAATGTTACAGTGCCTTCCGACACTTCCAATAATATTAAAACACTATTAGATGCAGCTCCTACATCATCTATATGCCTTACAAAAGCTGTGTGAACTTTGACTATCAGCTTATGAGCTACCTTAAGATGTTATATTTGATCACACCACGGTGCTTTCAGCTAAAATTGTGCTCTTCATAGTCTAGATTCACATTCCTAATTCACTTATAAAACTTGTACCTGGATGCATATGAAAAGGTAACTGTAAACAAACATACCTACCATCATTTTCCTCAAGTTCACCATCCATTATTGCTAAATAAAGCGGTATAAATATCTTGAAAGGTAATTTCGTAAATGGAAGATTTATATAGGTGAGTGAAAGGGGCACAAGTAAAGTTACCAATGTTTTAGCATGTATGCAGAAACAACAGTGTGGGATCAAGTAGGTATCTCATGTACAGCTAAAGCAATAATCTCATTTTTGTTAGATGATGTCCATTTGGACAACTAGAATTCAGCCCTTCCAGTCATGTATCTCGCTGTGAGGCACTCAGCATTTTAGGGCTTCAGTAGTCCTATGATACCTTCATCTGTTTTCTTGATATCTGTTGGCTTTGTGTGTCATATGAGTGAACTCCTTGTTTATGTGTTTGAGGTAAAAAAGTATTTTTGATTTGAAGCTCTCATTTTGGAACTTACCTGATTTTTACTATCCCAGAAAGTCACCAAGTACGTGAGCTCTGAATAAATCGAAGGAAGCTCCACAGATGGGAATTCAGGATGGTAAATATCAACCATGATTTTATCACCATGCCTTGAGAGACTGAGTTTTGGTGGTCCTATTTTTCCTGCAACACATTGCACCTTTGCTATTAGGCCAAAGCTTTTAACACAAAATATGATATTTGTAGTTAGCTTTCCAAAATTCATTGGAGACTTGACAGGAATTACATGTTTATTTTAATGCCATTAATATCGCACAGCTGTGATACTTAGAAGTAGCAGAGGCATTGCATACATTCATGAATCTGCTTCTAAAATGGAAACTGAGATGGTGCAGAATTCCACTATTAAGGAACTCAACTTTCCTATTCACATAAGCCATAAAAATTTAGCTCACTGACAAAACATAAAAAACACAGCAATTAAACATATATATGTGAATGAGAACAGAACACAAAATACTGCTGACTAAATCCTACCATAAATCACACTCAGCTAAAAACAATACTGTACTGAAACAAAGGCTATCTGAAAATCTAAACAAACCTAATCTCAAGCAGCAGTTCTTAGGAAGCCTGATTTCCAATTGCAATGGCCTACGGGAATTTTTGGTGTCTAATGACCTGACTGAACACACGAGTTTCTTGTTCAATGGGAAAACTATTTTGTCTCCCTCCTCCATACAGGTCTAGCAATTTTCTACAAACTGTCAAACTCAAGCATTATTACCATGACTTCTGTCCCTCTGTCAAACAGTAGAAACCAGCTACTGATTCCAAGTCATGGGCATATTGGGCAGGGAGGGAACCATAGTGGAAAACAAAGAGGGACTCTACTTCTTCAGCTCCAGCAATGCAGAAATTCAGCTCTACCTATAGCACAGCCCAAGACAGAGAGAATCTCATGGCCAATGTCCTGCCTGAAAGCTGCAGCAAGTACAAGAGGAAGTCTCTCGGTCTCTCCTCACTCTCTTGTGCCTGTTTTACACTACCCATGAGGTGCTGGGGCCTGCGCCACTGCTTTGGACAGGTTGGCCTGGAGTCTAGACACACAATTTACTTTTACAACATGGATGTGAAAAACTGTGATGTCTCCTAAAGCAGCCCAAAGGATTTACATGAAGAATGAGTAACTTACGTTAGCCAGCTACAGTGAACTCCCATAGCTTCTAGATAGTATCTCGACACCCAAAGCTGTCAGTACATGGGATTATAATGTCAAGCAAGGCATCACCAACCACCTGAATACCACTTCAATAATGCCTAAAGGTCCACAGCTTCCAGTGGCAGTTTCCTACCCTAAACCAGTGTCTGAGACACCAGGAAAGAATATGGGAAAGATGCACAGAATGCACCATCAGCGTCACTTTCTTGCCTTTAGAACTTCTGAAAAAAAAAAAACCAGATACCACAGTGACAGGGCTAACAATTCCCTACAGAGGCAGAAGTACAGAACTAAGTTCATACTGAACAATCATCATGCTTCATTTCATCCCGGACTTCTAACTTTATGATATTCCCAAATGAGACACAGTAATACAGCAAAAAGGATAATTACTAACTTTTTACATTTGTGGAAAAAATTACAGAGTTTAGCTTATGATGGAACTTACCATGCTTTTGCAAAATAAACTCATTTGTCTCAACATACTCAGACTGTTGTGACCCCACAACAGCTTTAACTCGAAGCCAGTGAGAGGCAAAAATGTCGTCTATTTCCCTTGAGATATCACAAAACCAAGCTGAAATGTTCACACAAGTTGAGACGGTCTTATAGTAACCTACACTGTAAAACAGATCAAGTAATAGTTAATACAATTTCAACTGCACAATATTGTACAATACACTGCCTGATGAAACATCTGTGAGGGTGACTGAGCACTGGCAAAGGTTGTGGAGTCTCCATCCCTGGAGATATTCAAAAGCCATCTGGACATGGTCCCGGGCAACCTGCTCTAGCTGATCCTGCTTGAGCAGAGGGGTTGGACCAGATGACCTCCAGAGGTCCCTGCCAACCTCAACCATCCTGTTATTTGACAAATTTTTGCCTTAATTTACACTTAGGCAACCTTCACCCTACACAACTTCACCACACAGAAACAAAAGCATTTACCGTTGACTGATTGCTTTTATAAGCTTCTAGAGAATATTGGGTACAGGAAATGACAAAAAAAGTAAGAACTTACTTGTAAGGTTTGATTTCCACAATAAAACGCGGAGTTTCAGGCATAGCTGGGTATTGCCAACGCAGGATGGTTTTGAAATTTTCGGACGTTACTACAGCCTGCATTGGTGAAGGCACTAGAAGAAACAGAACAATTGCACTTTGATAAACAGACCTAGTCAAACTAAGAACAGTCAAATATATTTCTATATTACTTGGGAAAGGCAACATGCTAAAAATTACTGGAAAAATTAGACATAAAAATCGCAAATACTTCCCCCCCCAGATGGACTAGTCTGCTACTAGTACGAACACATAGGAGCCCTGCAAGCCGATTTATTATTCTTCTCTCCTACGGAGACAGCTTTCTTCCTGTTTGCAACCCAGAACCTCAGTTAACCCATGCCCATTGAAAGCAAGTCCATCAGATAGCCCATATCAGCTTCAGAAGCAGTGATGATTATACCCCTATGTTGGTATTACACAGATATACCAGCAAGACAGATAGTATGAATTTACTGAAGTTAAAGGAGATTAGCCCAGCTCCTGTAGATTTCTCTGGCTCTTCAGAAACTGAATCAGGATGCAGGGAGTGGGGAGAGAGAGGATACCAAAGCTGCAGTATCAGGGTCTGTGCTCCAGGACAGTCCTAATGAATCCTACTGCCTCCTGACTCAGCCTTCCCAAAAGGCAACAGGCTTGCTGGGGAAAGGCTGGATTCAAGGTGAATTTCTGACAATGCCATTATTACCACTCCAGCAGCATTTTTAGAAAGCTGTGATGATGTAGTCCCATATACAGGAAAGCATTTGAAGTACGTTTAGTAAACAACATCAGAGGTGACATGGTAAGCAATACAATGAGAAAAAGCAGCACTGTCAGTTTTCTTGTACGGCTTCTGTTCTAAGCACCAACAGTGACAGCGATATCGGGGAAGCAGCCGCCAGGGAAGGAAAATTACATGACCCGGTAACTACTGAAGAGAGAAAAAAAATGGTGGTCACTCAACTGATTTTAATTGTTACTTCTAGCTCTCAATGTCTGGTTTGGCATCCTTGTATTCTCTTATTACAGCTTTTGTGAGATACTGACAGGTAACTCTCATTTGACCTGCTCTGGACTGCTGCTACTTCACAAAGTAAGTGCTCCAACTTCACTCTGACATATTGAGGGAAAGTAAACAATTTTCACATCTTGAGAACAAGACCACAAAGATAACACTCTACAGAGAGTAATACACGGAGGCAGAGACATGCTATTAACCACAAAGACTTGATACACATAACATACATTGGTCTGCAACCGGCGCTGTGGTTTAGTCACGTTTTAATACGTACAAAAGGGGTATTTCAGTTATTGGAAAAAAGGAACACAATCATCAAATTCTAAACCACAAGAAAAAAAAAGGTGACAAGCTGACAGAAGAGGTGTCAAAGCACACAAATGTCACTTCAAATATTCAGTTTAAGGCACAGTGTAGCAATGTCTTACAAAATTTTACTTTTCTGTATTATTATACAAATAACATTATGCTTAACAAAGGAGTGGAAAATGAAATCCCAGAACATATTTGAACTGCCAGTAGAAGCTTTTAGTTATGCAATTGCATACCACTTTGCTTACTCATTCTTCCTCCCAACCCCACATTTTTGTTGTATTTTGTACACAGACAGAGTTGCTACCCTGAATTTCAAGAGAGCAAACTTTAAGCTACGCAGGAAGCTACTCAGCAGTGTCCCCTGGGAATCTGCTTTTGAGGGCTTAGCGGGTCCATGAGTGCTAGTGCTGGTCAGCTTTTAAGAACCACCTTTTAAAAGCACAGGGGCAGGCAATGCCACCGTGTCACAAGTCAGGCAAGCGGGGCAGAAGACCAGGAAAAAGAAATTGCGTTATCTCTGGAAGCGAGGTCAGCCTTCGCAGGAAGATTACAGTCGTGGTCTGCAGGGAGAAAACATGAAAGGCTGAACTGGAGTTGAAACTGGCCAGTGTTGTTTCAGATAACAAGAAGGGCTTTTTAAAGTACATTAATAGCAAGAGGAGGTCTAAGGAAAACATTGGACTGATACTTGTTGAAGGTGGCCACCTGACTAATAGGGATGAAGAAAAAGTGGAGGCATTCAATGCGTTCTTTGCCTCAGTCCTTAATACTGATAGTCCTCGGGATGCCCAGTCTTCTGAGTCCAAGGAACCCTGAGTGCAGGAACAGTGACCTACCATTTTGTGGACACTGAAATTATAAGGGGCCAGCTGTATCAGCTGAATGCTCACAAGTCCACGGGGCCTGACAGGATTCACTCCAGAGCACTGAAGGAGCTAGCAGATGTTATTGCAGGACCTCTCCCTATCATCCACCAAAGGTCTGGGGAGCTCCCTGCTGACTGGAAGCTTGTCAACACTATTCCAGTGTACAAGAAGGGCGTGAGGAAGACCCAGGGAACTATAGACCCATTAGTCCAGCCTCAGTACCTGGAAAAATTATGGAGAAGATCCTACTGGGTTCTATTGAAAGACATTTAACAAACAATATAATCATCAGGCACAGTCAACAATGGGTTCACAAAGGGAAAGTCCTGTTTAACCAATTTAATATCCTTCTATGATAAGGTCACCTGCCTAGTGGATGAAGGGAAGGTGGGGGATGTAGTTTTTCTGGATTTCAGTAAGGCTTTTGATACTGTCCCTCGTAGCATCCTTATGGACAAGTTGTCTAACTGGGGATGAGTGGGTTCACACTGCGCTGGGTGAAGGACTGGCTGAACAGCAGGCCTTGAAGGGTTGTAGTGAATGGGGCTACATCTGGGTGGCGACCAGTCACCAGCGGTGTTCCTCAGCGCTCAATTCTAGGGCCTGTTCTGTTCAATATTTTTACCAATGATCTGGATGCAGAAGTTGAATGCACCATCAACAAATTTGCCAATGATACTAAACTGGGAGGTGCTGTTGAGTCTCTTGAGGCACAAGAAGCCTTGCAGAGGGATCTAATAGTTTGGAGCATTGGGCAATGATTAATGGGATGAAATTTAATAAGTCCAAATGCCAGATTCTGCACCTGAGATGGAGTAACACTGGGCACACAAGTATAAATTGTGAGGAATGGCATGGGAATGTAACATTCTGAAGTACTTGTAAATGCTGAGTGACCAACTAGAATCTACCAAATCACTCCTCCACAGCTCTATAAAAGACTACTCAACCTATTTCTTTGCTCTGTCATCCAGAGATAATTTTTAACATGCTCCAGCTCTGAGACTACAAAAGAACTAGTAGAAAAAAAGCTTTCCTCATGAAAAGACAACTTTCTTCACAAACTACACCACCATATAAACCACCTTACCAACCACCAGGAACATCACCACCACCATGTCAAGATCTCAGACAGCACTACAAGCTGGCCTTGATCACTTACAGGAATGAGTTTACCCGTACCATCAGCTCACCCTTTTCACCCTCACTTTTAACAACTTTGCTTTCAGTGATCAAGTTAGTCAAACACCATCTTCCTCTCTGATCTTTCACTCCATATCCTCAAGACAGACCTAAAGGACACCTTCCAGCATGAGCTGCAAAGCTAAAAGTCGTAACTCTGCTTACAAACAAAAGCCAGTAAAGAAATAGGTTTATAGCACACCTCCTCTCACCTCATTAACCCCTCCATGTTTCACAGGCCAAGAATTATCTCCCTCTCTTTTTCTAAGGGATGACACCTTTTATCACTCCTTCTACCACTTCCCTTGCTCTCTATAGGCACCAGCCATCTTGTCTCTCGAGTGGTCTAATGGATACGTTGTAAAGTCAAATGTAAATTATTCTCAGCTTGTATTTGAGGTTCAGAAAGCCTTGAAAGCTCATCTCCTTTCCCTAATTACACTGTTTATTTTAATGGAAGACTGTATCTACCTGCACACCTTGCCTAACCAATTTGAGTGACCAAGGACCTTACTCTTCAGGTCATTTAGCAATAATACATAGAAACTTCACACAAGCGACAGAAGCTTAAGATGCACAAGCACAATCACAGAGTGACCTGGAAATTGAGCACTTAGTAGAGAACCAACATGGAATGCAACCACACAATTTACCTCAGCAAACTCACACCTGCATCAGTTTGTAACCAATATATAGAAATCAGAGAGAAATGTGAATATTTATTCGTTCATATACAAACAATCCAGACTAAGTATTTCTGCCATACTGGTGGCAAAGACCTCAGCAGGGGTGTGTGTATATATATATATAATAAAATATCTTCTCAGTGTGCAATTACCTTAACTAACATATTTAAGTTTTGGAGACATTTACATCTTCAGCAAACTTGCATAGCGGACAGGAAGGAAATAGATGTGGGAGGAAATTAAAAACCAAATGCCACTGAAAGACTTTTGTCTTACTGCAAATATCTGTTGGTTGGTTTCAGGCTGCTAAGAAATAAGGTGGGTTTTTTGGTTGTGTGTTTTTGGTTTTGTTTTGGTTTTTTTTTTTTTTTTCAAAGCAACAGGAACAAGTGTACCTAGTTGTATCCTCTAAGACTAAGGAAGATAACTGACAGAACTAAACCACTAGTTGCACACAATATATGATATTATATATAATAATATATAATATAATTACATATATATATGATATAATTCTGCTTCAAAAGCATCTATCAAACCAGAAAACACTTGCTACTATCTACAAGACAAGGTTAACCGAAGCTCCTTTTCTCATTCTGGCAGAGGCCATGAGGCATTACTGTATACACAGAGGCATTTGTCACCACTGCTCGTGGAACTGGAATTTAACTGGAAGTTCAATAATGCATATAACAGAACAGGGCCTGATGAGTCCACAATGTACTCTATGTTGTATTGGGTTTGCACAGCAAGGTATCAGGGGGGCTACTGCGGCGGCTGCTGTGAAAAGCTGCCAGAAGCGATGGTGGTTAGCACCTCTGGGATAACGTATCTAAGAAGGAAAAAAAACCTGCTGTGGAACAGCAGCCAGAGAGAGAAGTGAGAGGATGAGAGGAGCAGCCCTGCAGCCCCCCAGGCCAGGGCAGCAGGGGGGCAGGAGGGGCTCCAGGCACCGGAGCAGAGATACCCCCACAGCCCCGGGTGCAGCCCACGGTGAGGCCGGCTGTGCCCCTGCAGCCCAGGGA